CCGAGGGCGGTCGACCGCCAAAACCGTCGCGGTCGACCGATAAGAATGACGGAAACCAAAAAACTTATTACAGGGTCTGCGGTTAACCACCAAAGTCTTCGCAGTTGACCGTACAGAAATCTAGAACCTAGTAGCGTACACATTTTGGGTCGACCGGCCTAGCCTCTCTGTCGACCAGACAGCACCAAAAATCCTATCTGCTTCACAAATCCTAAACTTCGTCGCCATGTTGTCATTTCTACAATTTTCCACCTCGACGAAGTCCAAAACTGAGCCGACACCAATACCAACCAAACGTCCCACTTGTTGCATCCAATACAAAGTGAAACAAATTCACAATAACGGACGCAATCCACAACAAGTCGGGAACCAAATGAGAATGTAAACAAACTCCAAATGTCGGTATCAACTCATCAAACCGGCTGCATAAAAATGACTGCTTACGTATCCTCTTACCCAAGGTATCATGTCTCACGTAATTCACCCAAATGACCGCAAATGTCCTCAATCAACTAGAAGGATTTTTAAACCTTCAAGATCATCACCAACCAATCTGCAGCTGATAACTCTCCCAATGGTCTCAAAGTGAAAAGATGAACTATCTTCCAAACTTGCATCTCTCCACACCAAATCTGCCTTGGAGCTCAACTACTCAACCCTATATGTAGAAGAAACACAATTTCCAAACACCTAAAACTGAGATGAACCATCGGCCATAGCCAAATCCGAATTGTGTCCACCAGCTGCACTCGAATCCTAAATCTCAATCTCATCATCTGCATCCATATCAATATGATCCCTAATCTATATCACCTCAGCTGGAATCCTAAATAATATAGAATGATCTGGAGAACATGGAGTAATCTCCACCCAACGTGGAGTAATCTCCACCCAATATGGAGTAGCATCACTTTCCACCTACTGCGATACGCTTATGATCTGTCCAACACTCTCCATCTGCTGAGAGTCAAATGTGACACTACTGCTCAGAACAATATCAGAGTCCCATACCTTGTAATCAAACATGCCTCTGAATCCTAAATGTACACTCGGATCAAACTTTACATGCTCGATGTGACAATATGCTAGGCATCCAAATATCCGAAGCAACCCAAAATTTGAAGCAGCTCCACCAGATCCAAATATATCAATCGTGGCAGATGACAACCTGTAAATAAGATGGCTCAAATATGTAAAAGCCTTATCACCAAGACTCATCTGCAATCCACTGCTTGACATCAAACACCAATCATCCTCCAACAAGGAACGACTCAACAAATTTACCACCTTATCTCATTGCCCCAATGTTTCCTTTCTAATGAAGTGTCTCAAACTACATTTAGCTAGGCACAAATGCAAAAACGGATCCCTCTTGAACTTTCCACCAAACTCAGAACAAAGTATTTTTTTCCCTTTTTACTGATACACTTCTTCCATTGTTATTGACTACTAGGACTTCACTCCAACGGGACTTGGTTGCAACCCACAAATATCTAGAATAGTCTCCAATACAGGAAACCAAATACCTATTACCTCACAATGATGCCTCCTTGGAAGGCCCCCAAACACCTATGTGAACATCATCTAGAAGGCTAATCGTTCGGTGAATAGAAGTGCCAAACTCTACCTCAGTCTTCTCGCTCACACCAATATATTCATAAGTCTTTAAACTGTAGGTCAAAGCACCTCTCACCAATCCATGTACGGAATCAAGACTTGAATATCCTAGCCTCAAACACCACAGTCTAGCCAAATCAATAAAAGTCGTCAGCTCTCCACCTGTCACCATGCTTCCAATCAAATAATACAAATTGTTCTTCCTGACACCCTTCATCATATTCATGGACCCCATTGTGACCTTTAGAGATGCATCCTCTAAGATCACCCTATAGTTTGCTGCCTCCAAAACTCCAAGTGAAATGATGTTCCTCGACAACTGCGGAATGAACCTCACTTCCTTCAACTCCCTAGTCACCCCGTCACACATTCTGATCCGAACTGTTCTAATACCACAAATATGGCATTCATGATCATTACCCATGAGCACACATCCCCTCTTTCTAACTCTTCAAAGCTGGAGAACCAATCCCTCCTAAGTCAAATGTGGTACAAAGCATCTGAATCCAACATCCATCCCGTAGAGTCGGAAACACAAACTAGCGGTAGTGTAGGACATGAGTAGCCCAAAGAATCCGAATCTGAATTGTCACCACTAGCTTTGGTAATATTCACCTCTGAACCTTGTATAGTTTTTTTCCTTATTTTCCTTGGCTCGATCTTTCAACTTTGGGCATCCAGACTTCCAATGTCCATCTTCTTTGTAAAAAACACATTGATTCCTACCAACTAAAGGACGTGCTCCTCTAGACTGCGACCTCCTATTTTGGTTTGGGCCTTTCCCTCTTGCGGTCAATGCATCCGCTACTACATCATTAGAAGACTTATTGTCTTTCTTTCTAAGCTGTTAGTTCACAAGTGCAACTGTGACCTCACTATACGAAAGTGATGTCTTTCCATTAATTAGGTTAAAAACAAAGGTCTCATATTCCTCGTCCAACAAGGAGCTCAACAACGACAACGCCTTGTCCTCATCATCGATCATAACATCCACATTTGCCATATCCGTAAGAAGCTTCGTGTAGTTGTTCATGTGATCACAAATTGAGATTCCCTTCTTCAACTGGAAATGGTAAAGCCTCCTTTTCAAATGTAAGCGGTTCTCAATACTCTTTTTTAAATATTTGCTCTCAAGAATCTCCCAAATCTTCTTTGCTAAAGTCTCATTGATCACATCATACTTTAGATCTTGTATTAAACAAGACCAAATGATGCCACACGTCATCTGATTCATCTTCTTCCAAACATTTTCTTTAATATCGTCCGGCTTACCGTCTAACTCCAAAGTATCTTCTAAATTTTGTGTGTTCAGTGCATCCAAAACTTCACATCTCCATTATCCAAAGTTGTTCGTGCCATTAAACTTTTTTACATCTATCTTCATAGAGTAGATATTCAAACTTTGAACAGTCTTCACACTAGAAGTACTACTCTCAACACCTTCTTTCCCAGCCATCTTCCTCAAACACCAACAAACCAATGCGAAATAAACTGAAAGATAGATCCAAATTACGAGAAAGATAGATTTTTACCTCCAACTAAAACTTTAATAAGAGCCTCCAAAAGATCTCACCCTCACACAATGGAAGACAAGATCCACAATAATAAAAATCCTATATTTGTCTCTAATTGAAACCCTAGACGAGCTTCTAAAGTGATCTACTCCTTCACCTAACCCAAGCGTAGCCTGATGTTCCGAGGGAAAACACAAATGCTGAGAGAAAAGACCAAACACAATCAAAATAATAGCACGAACACTAACAAACAAATTTGACGTGGTTCGACAAGTTACCTACATCCACGTGGCAAGAAGGGGATGAGTTTTCACTAATAGAGAATGAGAGTACAAATAGAGATTATAAATTCAATCAAAATCTCTCAAACAAACCTTTTAAATCTCTCAAACAAAACTCTAACAAAATTGCTCAGAAAACTCTCTTTTCTGTGCACAAAACAAACCCCTTTTCTGAAAGCACCCTAATGTCACTAGGAAGGAACCCTAGAGGGGGGTGAATAGGGTTTATGCTAATCTAATCCGATTTAATACCAATTAAAAGTTATTAACAAATATGTCCTAACAAATATGATATGCAACAAGATATATATGCAAGGATATAAAAATTTTACAAGAGTAAATAATCTAAACTAGATAGTGGGCAATATAAACAACAAGCAATATACAAAGGCGATACAGGAGATGAACATAAGAATAAGTGTGCCAATGCAATCACAAACAAACGATATGTTCACGGAGTTCGGTCCCCACGACCTACGTCTCCACATCTCACCTCGAGGAGATCTCCACTATCACACCGGGTTTTCTACGCTTACTCGAAAAATGTTTACACCTTACAATGTCAGTTTTCAACGCTCACCGATCAACGTTCACAATCACTCACAATGTAACTACACTAACTACCACCTCAAGTGTTGGTCTCTAGCCTATGTCTCCCTCAAGTGTTAGGAATTACAACCTCTCTCTAGATATTACCACCTACCCTACTCCTCTTGGGACGACCCCACCTCTCACCACACACTCTTCTTGGTGTACTAATGTAATATAAAGTGAATTCTCACAATAATAGCTCACAACACAAATGATTACTCTCTAAACAAGGTGAGAACTCAATTAAGCACAACTCAAAGTTACAATCTCTCACAACCCCAATTATATTATGTATAAAAATACTAGAAGCTCAAGTGGGTGTGTGTAACAATGAGATTTAATAAAACAAACTAAACTCAAATAAATATATCTTTAAGGAAATGAAAAACAAACAAATAAATAGCTAGATAAGAGTTTAGAAAAACTTCTCCATAGATAACAAGAGAGAGGGAGAATAGTGAATGCTTAAACACCAATAGATGATCTCCACTTGCTCTTGTGAAATTATCTTCACAAACAAAACTCTTAAACAAGGCTTAAACACCTTTAAACAAACTAAACAAACTTTTAAAACCCTTGTAAATCTTTTCTCTTTTTGTGAATAGAACTGAGGATATGTGGGGGGTATTTATAGGAACCCCAAAGCCAAGATAAAACAAGGCAAAAAGACCAAAAAACCAAAACTAGAACAAGCTAGAAAAAACGGGTCGTTACAGCATCAGTCGACTGGCGGTTTTCATCAGTCGACTGATGAGTTGACCGTTAGAAGCGTTTTCTAGCTCATCAGTCGACTGACGGACCTTATCAGTCGACTGATGACCTCATCAGTCGACTGATCAGTCGACTAAAATAAAATAGAAACTTTTTGTTTTTCCAGGCAATTTCTTCAGTCGACTGAACACATTCATCAGTCGACTGATAACACTGTATCAACCTGATTAAAACAGAAAATTTGATTTTCAAACCTCTTTTAAAAATAGCAAATAAAATTAGAAAAATATAAAACTTTGGAAAATAATTGTAAACATGATAATACACATGTTATAAAATTTGGTTTTTAAAAAGCATCTCCTAAATGTAAAATATCATCATTTTGCAAATATGTCCAAAACATAAAAACATGAGACACTTGTTTTTGTCATTTTGACTAAACCATGTTTTGAAACTTTACAAAATGATTTTATAGACTTAATTAAAGATGTATATTATGATTGTTAAGTCTATAAACTAGAAACACAATATTTTTTCAAATACAATGGAATATGAAACATATAAAAGTGTATATGAAGATATATATTGTTTCATATCTATATAGCTAAACCAAAACATATATGTATATATATATATAACTATATATATAAAAAAAAACATGTATGTGTGTATATGATTAAGTTTAAAGTACCAACACACATAATATAAACTCCTATACTAATTACCCAAGCTTGATGAAGGTCTTCAATGAGCACGACTTGGTAAACTTACGGATGAAGCTTAAACTTGAATCTTTAACTTGAATTGCACGGCTTCACTCCACTATTCCGCCAACCTCCATTTGATATGGTCGTGAAAGCTCGATTCCATCCATCCTCTAACTTATTGTTTGTCTACAATAGATAAGAAAACACAAACACTAGACAAACAATATTAGTTGTAAATTGTTTGTTAATCATCATCAAAACAAAAGGACTCAACATTTTCAACCTTACATTAACCCTAAAAAACGTGTGTTTCAATGTATATTAAAACACAAATCAAATCAGAACAGGAAACGAAGCTCAGGCCCAAACTCGATTGGCGGTCGACCATCGAAACCGTCGCGGTCGGCCGGCCAGAATGCTCGACCCATTCGAAACGTCGGCGGATCGGTCCGGCCAGTAATGACGGAAAACAAAGAACCCATTACAAGGGTTCCTGCGCGCGCACCGCCGAAGTCTTCCAGCGGTCGACCGTACATGAAGATCCAAACCTTCGCGGTCGACCGGACAGCACCAAAAATCGTGTTTGCTTCAAAAATCCTAAACTTCGTCGCCGTGTTGCCATTTCTACATCTTGAAGGGCTCTGAATATTGGGGAATCAATTTATCAAAAAATATAAAAGATTTTCTTGTTTTTATAAGAAGGCAGGGAAGGTCAGTGATAGAGATGGAGATGAGATTACGACCAATGAGCAGCTCATAGATTATGCATGCAGAAAGAGAAGGTGAAAACATAGCGGACCCTCGCAATACTTGTAGGATTCAAATGATGAATATCCTAGTAACAGCCGTAGAAGATAGCTAGCCAATTTATTATGAAGCATCTGTAGACTTCAAGGGAGAAAATCATTCCCGTTATAGAATTAAGTTGGATCCAGTCAGCTGGAGAAATTATTATCAAGTATAAATATATATCATAAGGACAGTATTAATTTGGTCTTAGATAACAGATCCGGATTGGGTTTCTCAATGCCGACATGAAAATATAGTTGAAAAAACCTTCATTAGAATAATTAGTACTCAATCAAAACACTAACCCCCACGACAACTAGCTTAAAATCTGGCCCCTTTTCTCGACTCAACTTACAAGCCCAGACGCTAAAAATGTCAACCCATGCGTTTTCCCCTCCCAGTTAAGGGTCTAACTATAGTTTCCCGCGTTGACTTTTGTCAAGTAAGAGCCCCAGGCTCTAATCTACCTGCCACTAAACGTTGACCATGAAACTCGGCTGGTCAAACTATTCATAACATTGCTTTTCGTAGATCTTACTAATCATGTCGCCAGACTTGGTTGCCTGTTATGGACAGGGTCCAAGTTATCATTCCTTTAGCTATAAACTTGCTAAATGTCCGAAATTGAGGACCAAGTTAAAT